TTTTTTTTTTTTTTTTTGGTTTTTGTTTTTTTTGGGGGTCATCACCGTCCTGCTCCAATTTTCATGGATGTCCCCCGCGGACTCCTCACACCTTTTTGCAAGTTCCCGCGCGCTTGCTGCGGAAGTGCTGAGAGCCGCTGCTGGCCTAAAAGATGACAGAAGAACTCGAGAACTTCTCTACGGCCACTACAGTTGGCGGAGGACTTCTCTACGGCCACTACAGTTGGCCCCTCAGAGTTTAGTATAGGAAAGACTTCCCAACAGACTAATTTTTTCTGGCATGAATCTGCCTCTACTCCGGGTCAGATACATTCATTACCGTTTCATTGTTTTTGTTTTTTTTTTGTTTTCGGAGGGCCCTTGATATCGGATAGTGTATTCCACAGGGAGGAACTGTGCGCATACGCCGGGGGCCAAGTCCCACTTACCCGCACGCCTTATTTTGGGCCGTTGATCTCGAATATCGACGGTCAGAAATGGATAATCCGTCCGGTTAAGTGTGAGACCTGGGTCCAGGACTGGAAACGGATGTATATGTATGTGACCTCTCTCCTCGGCCAAATTCAGTCGAGGAACTAGGGACCGCGAATGAATAATTTGTCTTGTCCCTTTGGGACGTAGTAAAAAAAAGGCCAAAAAAAAAAAAAAAAAAGGCCACCCCCTACCAATGGGCAGCTCAATTGGTACACCCATGAACTGCTGAAACGCAGACGAGAGCTCGAATCGAGATACTGCCAGACGACCACGAAAAAAAAAAAAAAAAAAAATTCATTTCTGAAGTACCTGGGGCCGGTCAGTCCAGTGATGATATCTCAACGACGTCGCCCTTTGATTTGAAAGGGGAAAAAAAAGGCCACCCCTCCCCCCTCCCGCCCCCCAAATAAAAAGAAAAAGGCCACTAGAATTGTCAGAAGAGTGTGTGCGCATACGCCGCCTCTCGAACGGACACAGCGAGCTGAGGACGCAGTGATGAGAGCGAACAACAAATCGTGATCGTACCAGGCGATTCTCTGGCGCCGTGAGGAAGCTCTTTCTTCCGAATGCACCTGGCCGCGTTCTGCAGCAGCATACGGTCGGCATTCTGCGTTTGGCCAGTAGTGGAACGGCGCCCAAAGCGATAAAGAACAGATCGTGGCGTGATTGATTGGAGCGCCCAGAATTGTTATCAGTCAGTCAGTCAGACTTTTCCCTTGGGTCGCAGAGTGCTGGGAGGGGCGGGAAGTGAGGCGACGATGACAGGGCGGCGGGAAGTGTGAGCGCGCGCGAGCGTTTTCCCTCTGGTGGAATATGTAGTCGGCGGGGCCAAGGTCCCACTTGCGCAAATTAGGAGATTTCGGCCGTTGATCTTTGCCATCTACGGTCAGTATCTCTTAATTCTTTCGTGCAAGTGGGACCTAGCCCCGGGGTGGTGCCGGTACAGGCCGATTTCAGTTTTCGTGCCGTGGCGCCCTCGAGTATCGCTGTGCTGAACAAAACTTAGCGTAGTGAAGAAAGACGTCGCGCCCAAAACAAACGAGAGATCAGCCATGTGTGTTTTTGTGAACGCGAGCGGAGTGTGAACCTTTGTCGCTTGTGGATGACAGAGTGTCTGTGTTTGTGTGTGTGAGAGAGAGAGAAGAGACACACAGAGAGAGAGAGAGAGAGAGAGAGAGAGAGAGAGAGAGAGAGAGAGAGAGAGAGAGAGAGAGGGGTGGTGGTTCGTTGCCTAGAGTGTCTGGCGTCACTTTTCGCAGCCAGATGAGTTAAAGCGCCTACTACGGTAGTGGTAAACAAGAGACTGTCGTGGTGATAGTTTTTTGCTGAGGGGTGTTTGAACGGCGGGCATTTCGTTTCAGAAGAGATTGAAAAGTAGTAGGTGCTGTCGTTTCATCATCAAGTATTACAGTACACGCTTGCCATGCCACATTTGACTGAGCCGTCGTTGTCTTGATAGTGAGTGATAAGTTGATAACGCATACCAGCGAGAGCGCGAACGACCGAGGGTTCGCCATCGCAGTTCGCCATCGCAGTTCACTCAGATTGGTGGTTTGCTGCTGTAGTAGCCATAGCCATATTCTCAGCGGCTTCGTTGCCTGCGTGGTGGGAGATTTCCATTCGCGCTGCGCTTATTGTTGCCCGCCCTGTGCGGTGTCTTCGTTGCCTACTTGCGCTTGCGCGGTGTGTTCATCGCATGCTTGCGCGCTTGCGCGTGCGCAGTCGCCTTCGTTGCCTGCTTGCGCGGCGTTCTCCTCGTTCTACTTGCGCGGAGCCTGCGCTTTCGCTTTTCCGCTTGCGTGGTTGGTTTGGTCCGCCTGCTTGCGGCGCTTGCGGTGTTGTCTCGCTAGCTTGATTGCGCGGTGTTCCGCTTGGGTTCCTGCGCAGTTGGTCTTTTCGTTCCCCGCGCGGTTAGTCTTTACGTTACGTTGCCCTTGTGGGGGATTGGCTTCGTTTGCTGCGCTGTTTGCATACAAGATTGAGCCACTCAGCTCCTAAGTGGAAAAGTATTGTGAACCGTAGCGATGCGACCCAACGCCGCTACTGCTTGTCGTTATCGTACACGAAGAGATGTGTGTGCCTCGTCGTCGAAGATTACTGGCCATAGGTGACCGTCGATTTGCTCCAGTGGGTGACTGACCCGAGGTATAATATAATTTCCCCCGAGGTATAATTTTCCAGCGGGCGCAGTTAAGAAAATCCGTTAGCTCTGTGTGAGACTTCGTGCGTGGTTGCGTGCGTTTGTGTGTGTGTGTGTGTGTGTGTGTGTGTGTG